CCAATCCTGGCTCCACCTCTCACAAGCAGTCTCCTTGGACGAGCTAGTTAGCTTCTTTGGGGCTTAGCATCTGTGAAATAAGGGTGATACGGTGGGGATCAAAGGAAACCCCACACATGAAGTGCTTAGCCCCATGTGTAGTTTAGACACATACTCCACAAGTGGGAACTTGCTCTTTCCCCTTTCTTTAGTATTTTTTTCCTCAGGTTTCCATTCTGTCATATTCCCTCTTTCTTCCATAGATTTCATAGTCTCAGTGACTCAGATTATGGAACCCTCATTGTTTTTTTTAAGATTTCATTTATTTTTACATGGAAGAACTGGGGTACAGGGCAGAGGTGTGGGAGGTTGAGGGGATTCACCAGAGACAGACAGAGTGGGGAGCAGAATAGGTGGACTGACTGAAATACACTGCTTGAGGGGAACAGGGGGCGAGACAGGAGAGGTCTGCTGTGCATGTGGGTAGCTCCCTGACTGGGGATGGAACTCGAGCTGCAGTGTCTGCCAATAGCTTCATAGTGCTGAGACTTAACCCCTTGCACCACCAGGGAGACTGATGGAGCCTTCATTTTAAGGATGAGGCAACAGGTCCTGAGGAGGAGTGATTTTCCCAAGTTTACACAGTTAGGAAGAGTTGGGAACAGAACTTTCTCCTGAAGCCTGAAGGTCTTAGCTCCCTCCCTCCCTGTCCTCTCCATTTTTGTTCTCCCTGCTCACCTTCTTTTTTCAACCTCATGTTCTTTTTTAACCTTTCCTTCTCCATTGCTGCTCCCTGGAATGTGTGGTCTATGTTCCATCTCTATCCAGGCCCCTTTTTCTGTAGTGAAGAGTAAGGCCAGACCAGCAAGGTTTCACTCTTAGGACTTAGAGCAAACCTAACTTCCCCCTCTCCTTTCTTCCTTTTCCCTTCCTTCCTCTCCCTCTTCCTCTGGCCGCTTCAAGACTTTGGAGCAGCAGTTTTCAAGTTTACTGTTGTACTGTCACTCATTTGTGAGATGTGCCACAAGTGCTTAATTATTAATAAAAGCTATAGTATCAAGGATTCGGAATAGCTGTCTTCTGGAATGGATTAAAAAGTATCTCTACTTGGTCATTTTCATTCTGATATGCAATTTTGAGCAATAGCACCTAATCCCACGGATGACCATGGGAACCTTGTCAAGTTTGTGTGGAGGATGGTTGTAGCCTAAGAGAATGGGAAGCCCTGATAAAGAGTTCCTCTTAGGTGGCACACTGAGGGGTAAGCTTCCCCCTTTTTCCTTGCTTTTCTTCAGGGCGTCCCCCTGGACACCAGTAAATTGTCCACTGACCAGCGATTGCCTCCGTACCCATACAGCCCCCCAAGTCTGGTTCTACCCACCCAGCCACCAACCCCAAAGCCTCTCCAGCAGCCAGGGCTGCCCTCTCAGGCCTGCTTAGTGCAGCCCTCAGGTGGGCAGCCCCCGGGCAGGCAGCCGCACTATGGAGCATTGTACCCACCCAGCTCCAGTGGACACGGGCAACAGTCTTACCACCGGCCAATGAATGACTTCAGCCTGGGGAATGTGAGTACCTGGGTTCCTAGCTCAGAAGCAGGGGAGGAACTGGGGGTTGGTAAGAGGGCCTGACAGATACTGCTGAAGTGGGAGGAAAGATCTTCTTTCCACACAGGTAACAGCACTGGGGCTTCTCTGTTCCGCGTTCGACCCCCAACTCCTGCCCCTTTCCCTCAGCTATCTCCGTGCAGCTTGTACTTTGATGACTACTGCTTTGACCTGTTCTCTTCCTGGCACGCACATGCTCTGTCCCAGCAGGTACGGTGCCCACACCTACTTAGGGCCCCGTGCTTGCTTCTGTCGCTCTGCTTCCAGCCATCTCCCTTGTCTGCTTTTGTTTCTGGGGGGGGGGGGGCGTGTGAGAAGGGAGTGAAGATTGGTGGGCAGAGGGTATGAGTCAATAGGTCTTGGCAGGGCCAGGCAGGAAAAGCCTGTTCTGAAGCCCCCTTCCTCAGGGTCTGTCTGTGTGTCCGTAGTTGGAGCAGTTCAGCATGGAGAGCCCATCAACCAGCCTGGTGCTGGATCCCCCTGGCTTTTCTGAAGGACCTGGATTTTTAGGGGGTGAGGGGCCAGTGAGTGGCCCCCAGGACCCCCATGTCCTCAACCATCAGAACTTGACCCACTGTTCCCGCCATGGCTCAGGGCCAAATGTCATTCTCACAGGTGAGGTGATGGTGATGGGTGGGAGTAGAATGAGGGAAGGACACATTTGTTGGTGCAGCAGAAGTTTGAGGGGTTTTAGAAGAGTGTTCAGGACATGGAGACCTTACCCATCTCTTCTACCCACACAGGAGACTCCTCCCCAGGTTTCTCTAAGGAGATTGCAGCAGCCCTGGCAGGAGTGCCTGGTTTTGAGTTGTCAACAACTGGGTTGGGGCTGGGGCTGGAAGATGATCTGCGCATGGAGCCACTGGGCCTGGAAGGGCTCAACATGCTGAGCGACCCCTGTGCCCTGCTGCCTGACCCTGCTGTGGAGGATTCGTTCCGCAGTGACCGGCTACAGTGAGGGGACTTCATCACCATCCTTCTTGGCCCTGTCTCCCATCACTGTCCCTTTCCTCCCTTCTCCCTGGCCAGTAGAGACTCCAGACTCTGCCCCCAGATCCTCTTTCTAACTTGAATGAGGGATCCCAAGAATGAGAAAAGACCAAGGGGTTTGTCCAGGTGACCTCTGAATTCTGCACAAGGGATGGGCCTGGGGGAGCTCAAGGGAGGGTCTAAAGCACTTGTAACTTTGAACCGTCTGTCTGGAGGTCAGAGCCTGTTGGAAAGCAGGGGGTAGAGGGGAGCCCCGGAGGCAGGGCTTGTCCGGATGCCTTGGGGTGGGCAGTGCCAGCCCCTCCTCACCACTCTTCCCCTTGCAATGGAAGAGAGAGCCAGAGTGGATATTATTTTTTATTAAATATATTATATGTTAATAAAAAAATCATCAAACTTGCGTGGTTGGCTACTGTTTGGGCAGCAAATGGGGATCTAGGGAGTTCTTGGGCATAGGTTCTTTCATCTCTTATGCTTTTAGTACCTTTTCAGCACCACTGATTTGTGGAGCGGACCCCCCAGGATTGGTACTTAGCATTGGACATGGAGGTCTGGGTTGAATGTAGGCTCCCATGGCAGAAGGGAGACCCCTTATATATCCTCCCATCTGTCCAGGCCCTGCTGCAGCATCAGGGACAGGGCCTCTGACTGGCCAGGCAAGTTACTGCTTTTCCTCAATCCTGAGTCCTGGCAGAGAGTCAGGACTTGAAAGAGGCAGCAGCTGGCTGACCTCATAGGTCTGATGTTTCCTGTAGAATGACCCCAGGTTCTCTGGGAGTAGCTGGCCTCAGTGCTAAGGCTCCCAAAGAGAGTGGATTTAACAACTGCTGATGCCCTGTAGGTCTCAGGTTGGTTCTTTTTCCTTGTCCTTTAAGCCTAGAGGAACTAGAAGTTAGGCAAATGATACACAATCAGATTCCCCGTGTATCTAGGTCTCAGCAAAGTGCCGACGTCCCATTTCTGTCTTCTCACTAAGCATGAGTTCACCTCCCCCCTGCCTGTCTTCCCTAACCATGTTTTGAAGGTTTCCTCTTTCTGGTTTGGGGTGCTAGCCCTCTGATCATCTGAGCCTCTGCCATCTTCTGTCTTCCCCACCCAGAAGTCAAGAGTAACAGCCCTCCTCAGTTGCCCCCACCTCTACCATGCTTCCACACCCTACAATCCCGGCCTGCTCTGTTCCTCTTTCCAAATCTCTTCTCATTTTCAAAAATGAGAACTGAGAGCTTCTAGCATAGGCCCAAAGGGAATGAGTTTGCCCTAAACCTGGAAGTGGGACAGCCACTGGGTCTCCTAGGACTTAAGGTTCTTCACCCAGGAACGCGAGCCACATATGACTGTAGGAACTGGGCCAGAAGGGAGCCAGCCTAGGACTGCAGGGACCGCCTGGGGTGGGTGTCTTGTGGCATCTGTTGGATGGGGTTGGTGGGGTGGGGGTAAGCTGTCTGGGTGCAGGGGGCCCTCCCAGCCGCCAGGGGTCGCGCTGCAGGCGGCCGGGCGCTAGGCAGGCGCTGCTCGGGTCACGGCCGCCGGCCGGGGAAGGGGGGTGGGGGTAGCGCGGCGCCCGCGGCCCCGAGAGGGGTGGGGGGAGCAGAGAAAGCGGGGCGCGCGGAGAAGCACCCAGCCCCTAGAGCGGCGGGAGCCGGGAGGATCGCCGGGCCAGAGCCAGCGGGGCGGCAGCACAGTACCCGCGTGGCGCAGCGCGGCGGCCACGCCGGGATCGCCCATCTCCCTCCACCGCGCCCGGGTGCCCTAGGCCGCCTCTTCTTCCTTCACTCGCTGCTCGGTCGGGAGCGGCGCCCCAAGTCCCGGAGCGGCGCCTCAGCCCGGAGCTCCATGTCCGGGGCTGGGTAGCTCTGCCGCCAGCCGGCCCGCCCGCCCTCCGAGCCACCCGCCAGCGGGCCGGCCGGCCGGAGAGTCGCAGGGCCGGCAGGTAGGGGCTGGACCGGGCGGGGCGGCGGGCGGGGAAGGACAGCGCCGGCGGGGCTCGGGGATGTCCCCCCAGCTGTTCCCCGGTGCTGCACATCTGGTTCCGGTTCCTCTCTCCTGGGGAAGTGAAAGTGGAGGGGAGGGCACAGCCGGGAGTTAGTTCGCTATACCCCGCACCCTGCACCCCTCTTGCTCCCCTGGGTCCGGAGCCCCAGCACCCCTCCCTCCCGCCCGGATCACGCGACGGCTGGCACTGCTGCCGTCACGTCCCCGGCCGCCGGCGCCCCTCTCTGTTTTCCTGCTGCTTTCTCAGCCGCTTCCCTCTTGGCCCTTCCTTTGCCCGAACTTCCTGCCCCCTGGCTTGTGGGCATCGCGACCCGGAGTGGTGCCCTTGCCCTTGCCTTCCATCGGGAGAAAGGGCTGCTTACTGCAGGACTCTTCCCTAGCTCGTTAAGAGGAGACCGGTCTGCGCAGATCCTGCAGACTTGGGCCACCCACCCACCCACCCCTCAGCTCATCCCATCTAAAGACTCCTGCCTGCCGCCTGGGGCTTAGGGCTCCCATTCCCCTGCAGTGCACGAGGGACGGGGCTGTGTCCCAGAGCCAAATCAGGAGGCTGACGCTGACTCCTGGCATCACCTCCCAGACGTGGTGGCTATAATTAGGCGTAGTGGGGTGTGAGTGTGGCCAGAGGCCAGGTTACAGGAAGAGCCAGCCTTGCTGCCTGTCTCTAGGGAAGGGTGGAAGGTTAAGTAGGTCTACATCCTAGAGCTATAGAGCACCCCCTGCCTTGCACAAGGTCCTTTAGTCTAAAGTTCTTAGCAAGGTGCTGTTTGACACCTTCAGCTGTACACCCTTCCACTCCCCCTCCCCATACACACCGCATCACCAGACACACACCCATAAGCTGACTTCCGCTGAGCCACAGCTTCCCCTCCACTGTTTCAGGAAGTCACCTCCCTTCCCTTTAGAAGCACCCCCACGCCTTCGGTCGTGTGCTGAAAGCCACCCACCAAGCTCCTTCCCAGCTTCTGCACCCTGGGGTTCCCCAGGACCCTTGGGGCTCCAAGTCTCTGGGTTTGGGCCATGGAGGCAGGTGAGAAGTTACTGAAAGTTCGTGGTGGGCCTGTTTCTCTCTTGGGGCTCCGTGGAGGAGGGCATGAGCTGGCCGGCTGTCTCCCCCAGCACTTTGGAAACCTAACCGGGGCCACTTAAGGATCCTAGAGGTGGAAGGGCACTTTTTTGGGCCAGGTTAGTGGCGTTTGATTAGGAAAAAAGACATTTAAGTCTTGTGAGAAGACTCTAAACCTGGGTTTTCCTGGAAAAATTTTGGGTCCTCACGAAAACTTAGAAGTGGGCTCTTTAAGAACATTAGCGGGCTTGTGAAGGTTATATGATGTCATAATTGGAATAGGAAGGTCAAAAACCCTTAGACTGTAAGATTGGCATGATGTCATGACCAGCATGAATGATGTCATTACAGAAAAATTTGTGATCTTATCTATTATAGTACATGCAGGGAGCGAGGAGTGGGGTCTTTAAAAGGGATACAGCAACAATATGACATCGGAGCCCAGCTTCACTGTATGTAGTGAAGCAGAGTTTCGGTTCTTCGGGGGAAAGGGCTGAGACCACTAAGTGGGAGGGACCTGGTCTCTTTAAGGAGCTGTGTTGGGTTATGAGGGCCTGGTGATGTCACTGGCGGGAGAGTTTAGGATTGGCTGATAGCTTATCCTGCCTTTCCTTGGGAGTACTAGGAAGAGGAGAGGAGGAGGGTGGGCTTGCTCCCTGGTTGCCATGGCAACACCAGCTTCCATGCTTCACCTCTCCCCCTTTTGACTATTCCAGATGCAGTGAGTGAAGGGGGGGCCATGGCAGAGGAGCGGCCCCCCCGACTGGTGGATTACTTTGTGATAGCTGGACTTGCAGGGAATGGAGCACCTGTCCCTGAAGACACGTGGGTTCCTGAGCCCAGCGGGCCCCTGCGCCCTCCCCGGCCAGCGGAACCCATTACAGATGTGGCAGTCATCGCGAGGGCACTGGGCGAGGAGGTTCCCCATGGCTACACGTGCATCCAAGCTTCCACTGGGGGCCACCCCTTGGAACTCAGTGCTGGGCTCCTGGGTGGAACTCAGCCTGTCATCTGCTACCGTAGGGGTCGTGATAAGCCCCCACTTGTGGAGCTGGGGTGTGTACCTCTACCCGTGGTGGCACCAAGGGAGGTTGGGTGGGGTCTGGGGTGAGGGAGAGATGTATGGGATGAGGAGTGGGCAATGGGAAAGGGGAGGTAATAGGCTAGAGTCAGGGAGAAGCTATTGGGGTCGTATGTCCTTAATTGTCACGCAGATTCGGGTTCGTGCTAGTGCTGCTACTTGCTAGCTATGAGATCTTGGCAGCTCATTGAGCCCCACGGGCCTATTTCTTCCTCTGGAAAATGGGGGTAATAATACCTCCTTGCAGTGTGGTTGAGAAAATTCAATGAGCTGATTCATATTGGAGACTTGGCACAGAGTCAATACATGGTAGTTTTTATTCTTAGAATTTATTGATGAGTACGAGAGCCATGAAAGGCTTGAGGGGGTGTTACTGATCAAGATGTAGAGCTGAGGACAGAAGAAAAGGCACAGGACTCTGGAAGGCACAGTTTAGCAGGGAGAAGTGGGCCATGCTCTCAGGCTGATGAGGGTGAGGGTGTATGGTGGATAGGAAGCTCTGGCAGGGCTGGCGGCTTTCTCCTCTGTCCTCAACCCAACATCTCTCTCTCTGCTTTCTGTGCCAAGGGTGTTATATGAGGGGAAAGAACGCCCCAAGCCTGGCTTCCAAGTGGTAGACACAACACCCTACAGTCATTCAGCCAACTTGGCCCCTCCAGGCCCTGGGCATCCCCGCACCTACCTCACTTACCGGCGGGCAGCAGAAGGGGCAGGACTACATGCCCTGGGCATCACTGACCTCTGCCTGGTGCTGCCCAGCAAGGGCGAGGGCACTCCTCATACTTACTGCCGATTGCCCCGCAATCTCAACCCTGGCATGGTAAGTGGGGCCCTGGGGCCAAGAGCTAAGCTTTCACTGTCTGGGTATAAAGGTATGAACACCGAGCACAAAGGATATCCTAGGACTAAGGCCTTCAATGGCAGGAGGAGTGGGCCCAGATGGGTGACTCTGGTCATGAGGGGCCAGGGTTAGTGGGAGTTCTAAAGATGAAAGACTCCTTCGGGGTGGTAAATAAAATTGACCCCCAGAAACGTTAGCTGTGTATTTGCTTGTCTTTTGCCATCCCTGGGGCAGTGGGGCCCAGCAGTGTACCTGTGCTACAAGGTGGGCCTGGCCAAGGCCAACACGCTGGTGTATGAAGCAGGTGAGTAGTTCCTCTGTCCTTCCAACTCCTTGACCCTCTGTGTCCCTCTGCCCTGGTGCCTCTTGGCTGGCATCTCCAGTGTCCTGAGGACTCACTTCCCACTTGGCCCTTCTGGGATCCCTTGGTTTCTTCCCCTGAAATCTGATGAACCCTCCTCCTTTTGGGTACCCCCACTCTGCTGGGGGTACAGAGCTGCTGGGCCGCTACCCAGAGGAGGACAATGAGGCGTTCCCGCTGCCTGAGTCAGTGCCCGTCTTCTGCCTGCCCATGGGGGCCACTATCGAGTGCTGGCCTGCCCAGACCAAGTACCCCGTGCCCGTCTTCTCCACCTTTGTGCTCACGGGTGCAGCTGGTGATAAGGTGGGTTTGTGGAGTGTGGTAAGGGGTCCGGGCTATGCAGGGCCTGCCTGACTGCCCCTCTGCCCCTGGCAGGTGTATGGTGCCGCGCTGCAATTCTACGAGGCCTTCTCGAGGGCCAGGCTGTCAGAGCGGCAAGCTCGGGCACTGGGCCTGCTGAGTGCCGTGGAGCGCGGCCGGGCGCTGGAAGGCCGGGCAGTGCGCAGCCGACGCGCCATTGCTGTGCTGTCCCGCTGGCCTGCGTTCCAGGCCTTCCGCGCCTTCCTTACCTTCCTGTACCGCTACTCTGTCTCGGGCCCCCACCGCCTGCCCTTGGAAGCGTGAGCATGACTCCCCTGGCACTGGAAAAGGGTTCTGAGGGGATCGGGAAGCCCGGGGTGATGGACGAGATCAAGATGGAGCTGGGGAGAGGTGTGGGGAACAGAGCTGTGGTTGTAGTTTGTTCATTGTGAAAATACCATTGACTGAAGGGTGAGGGGCATGAAATGCAGCTACACTAGCGAACCAAATCCTGGCAGGGCCAGGCCGTGTCCAGAGTGCTCTTTTTTGATTTGTTCTAAATGATAATAGAGGCTCCAATGACTGGAGCCATCTACTAGTCTGGAGATGGAGTTCAGAAAGGATAAAGTCCATGTGGACGGGTGAAGGAGAGGAGAAAATGTGGCTGTAGGACAGGGGTAGACTGGGGAAGTCTACCTTTGACGGTATCCCTTTCTCCCCCAGGCACATCTCCCACTTCATTCACAACGTCCCTTTCCCTTCCCCACAGAGACCCCGCATCCTAGTGCAGGTGAGAGCTGCGGCTAGGGCCTGATGGGAGGGGCGAGTTGGCAGGATTTAGCCTTCATTGTCCTGACTGGGGCTCTTTTGTTTCCTAGATGTCTCCCTATGATAACCTGCTCCTCTGCCAGCCTGTATCCTCACCCCTGCCCCTCAGGTATGTGCCTAAGTTGAGGGGGACATGGTACTAGCCAGCTGGGCACAGCTGTTGAGGTCTGTGCAGTCTGGGTCCAGGTGGTGTCTATGTCCAATGACTAGGGAAGGGTCTCCAGGGCCTCCTGGTGACTGTTCTCCTACCTTGGCATTGCCGACAGTGGTGCCAGCTTCCTGCAGCTGCTGCAGAGCCTGGGTCCTGAGTTGGCGATCACGCTATTGCTGGCTGTGCTCACAGAACATAAACTACTCGTCCACTCGCTGCGGCCAGACCTCCTCACCAGCGTGTGCGAGGCCCTTGTGTCTGTGAGTGCCAACCCGCCCAGCCCCCTTACCTAGAGGGCCCTGTCTGGTGTGCCTAACCCTGCCTGGACCCTTTTCCATATTTCCTTCCTTGGGGACTCCTCAGCCTTCTTGGGCACAGCCTACAGGGACATGTAGCTTCCACTGGGGACTCTTTTGGAGCCCACCTCCACGGCTTCTCTCAACAGACATCCTCCCAGGCCAATGCCCCTTTTCTAGCATCCCCCCTTTGCTCCCTGCCTCCCCTCTGCTCACTGCTTCTCACTCCCTGGTGCTTCAGATGATCTTCCCGCTGCACTGGCAGTGCCCCTACATTCCGCTGTGCCCGCTGGTACTGGCAGACGTGCTGAGCGCCCCTGTGCCCTTCATTGTGGGTATCCACTCTAGCTACTTCGATCTGCACGACCCACCTGCTGACGTCATCTGTGTTGATCTTGATACCAACACACTCTTCCAGTAAGAGGGCCAGGTCTCATTCAGGGGGCTGTGTGGAGGGCTACCTGTGCAAAAGCAGCCTCAGGTAAAAAGTAGGGGAGGCTGGCAAGGCGCCCCATTGCCCTTTCTTCCTTCTGCCTCTCTTCTTCATAGGACTGAGGAGAAGAAGCTCCTCTCCCCTCGGACCCTGCCCCGAAGACCCTACAAGGTTCTGCTGGCCACACTGACAAACCTGTACCAGCAGTTGGATCAGAGTGAGTAGCCTGGATGGGCAGGATCACTGCCCTTAAACCTCCAGTTTGGGGAGGCCTGTGGAGAACTCTCACTTGAGGAATTAGAGGAGTCAGGATTTCATTTGATGGAAGTGAGAGAAATTCCAGTTCCAATTTAGGCAACAGGAAGGGGCATACAATATTAATATTTCTCAACACATTGGGATGGTCAGGCTGACCATTGGGGAGACTTGAAACTGTTACCTCAACTGTTACCTTTAAATCAGTACTAGTGCAAGGTCCGCTTGAAGCAGGAGGTGGTGAGGCAGCAGCAGCGACTTCTGTGTGAAGAGCAGGGTTGAGTTAAGCCTAGGTGCCGGCCCTGACTCACAGGCTGTCCTGGTCCCCAGCATATACTGGACCCGAGGAGGAGGCATCCCTGGAATTCTTGCTGACAGACTACGAGGCAGTGTGTGGCCGACGTGCCCGGCTGGAGCGTGAAGTTCAGGGAGCTTTCCTCCGCTTCATGGCCTGTCTACTCAAGGGTTACCGGGTCTTCCTGCGCCCACTCACCCAGGCACCCTCTGAGGGGGCTCGTGATGTAGACAACCTCTTCTTCCTGCAGGGTAAGGGGGCTTGTTTTTGCTCGGGAGGGGTGTCAAGAAAGGAGTGATCAGGCCTGACTTCTGTGAGACAAACAGAGGGGGCTGGGTTACTCTTGACTTCCCTTAGCAATGTTGTCATGGGCACTGGCTTTGAGCCATACACTTTTCTGGGTCTGGAGAGAGGAAGGGTACAAAGGTGAACTGCCCTGACCTGCCCTCTTGGTGGCCTGGCCTTGGGGTGGCCTGTGGTGAGCCACCCCCACGGGAAAAGCTTCTTCAGGGACCTTGCCCTTGAAGGATCCCCTGACAAAAGAGATAAAAGAGACAAAAGAGAGGGTGTGCCACGGGCCTGTGGTGCTGGGGGAGCTTGAGCTGGTTGGTTGGTGTTTGAGGTAATAGTACCCAAGGAGCCAAGAGCTGATAGCTCTGATGCCCTTGGATACCAAGTAAGCAGGGGGTTTGGAAAAGGTGTGGCTTGGGTGGAGAACCCTGGTAACATTTCTCCCTGCCCCATTCTCATCCCTCTCAGACTTCCTTAAATCCCGGGAACGCTCCAGCCACAAGCTGTATTCTCAGCTGCTCCACACACAGATGTTCTCACAGTTCATTGAGGAGTGCTCTTTTGGCTCTGCTCGGCATGCTGCCCTTGAATTCTTTGACTCTTGTGTTGACAAGGTATTGGATATGGTATTCCACATGCCCATTGCCTCTGCTATCCTCCTAGCAAGTGTCTCTCTTACCCCAGGCCGCTAGAAACACAATTCTCTATCTCCTCTGTGAGGGGGTGGTGTTCCTAGAGTTGCCCAGTGCACAGCATGGCCACATATACATTCAGTTCCTTCATTCCTGACTCCATCCCTCCAGCTCTATATCCAGGGCCCTGGTAGGGTCTGAGCACACTTGCTCCTTCCCTATGGCTGTGTTCTGGGGAGATGCCATTTTCTGGATGCCTGCTCTCTTGCCTTTCTGCCTCAGGTCCACCCAGAACAGGAGAAGCCAGAGCCGACCCCCTTAGTGGAGCTGGAGGAGCTGTCAGGAAGTGAGCTCACTGTTTTTATCACACCTCCCGAAGAGCCTGTGGTGCCAGAGGGCAGTGAATCCACTCCCCAGTATTGGTGAGAACCTCTCAGCCCCTCACTTGTTCCAGGCCCCACAGGCTGGCTCGGGGTTCACTACTCCTGATGTGGCCTCTCTCTGCCTGTAGCTATGATGGGTTCCCAGAGCTACGGGCTGAGCTGTTTGAGTCGCCTCAGGAGCAAGCCGGGGCTTTGCCTGTGCCAGGCCCATCCCGCAGTGCTCCCAGCAGTCCTGCCCCCCGCCGTACCAAACAGGTAACCAGCAGGTGGGCCTCACAAAGGCACCTGTTTGCTCAGAGCTATTGCTTCAGTTTTTTTCATCATAGGTAGAATAATGCCTTTTTTTAAAAAAAGATTTATTTGTTTATATATACAAGAACGGGGGTATAGGCCAAAGGTGTGGGAGGGTGAGAGGATTCATCAGAGACAGTGGGATGTAGAACAGGCAGATCTACTGAAACACACTGCCGAGGGGAGCAGCAGTCGAGGCAGGAGAAGTATGCTCTGACATGTGGGTCACCTCCCAGGTTGGGGATTGATCTTGTGCTGCAGTGGCTGCAGGTAGCTTCATAGTGCTGCAACTTAACCCCTTGCGCCACCACGGAAGCCCAGAATAATGGCTTTTTAAGAAATTATTGCAGGTAGAATAGTAATTGCCCCGTAGGGTTGTTAGGAGGCCTAAATTGCCTGGAATATAAAAAGTACTATAAATTATAGCTATGGTTACCACTGTGATCATCATCATCATCTTTATCTTTTGAGAATTCTGGGAATCCAGAAGCTTGCTGCCTTTTCTGGGGCACCTGCCCATGTTTAAGGGCTAGGCATCGCTGCCCGTGGTTCCAGGGCTGAAGCTATGTGTGCAGCACCCCTCCTCCCTCCTCAGAGCACAGGCCATTCTTCAGGGAAAGTGCTACATCTCCCACACCATTTTAAGACCTACCCTGCCTTGGTGTTGTTCTCACATCCGTGTGTTCCCTGCCCATGTAGGAGATGAAGGTCGCACAGCGGATGGCACAGAAATCAGCAGCTGTGCCTGAGCTGTGGGCCCGGTGTCTGCTGGGGCACTGCTACGGGCTGTGGTTCCTGTGTCTGCCTGCCTATGTGCGGTCGGCGCCCTCCCGGGTGCGGGCCCTGCACACGGCCTACCACGTGCTGCGCCAGATGGAGAGCCGCAAGGTGGTGCTGCCCGACGAGGTGGGCACCCATGCCAGTCCCAGGAGGCTTGTGCAGGCCTGGGGGCTGTGAGAGGGAACCTAGGTGGAGACCAGCGAAAGCAGGTGGGGAGCATGGGCACAAGCCCCACAGCCAGGCAGATGCTCCATCACACCACCTCGTGAGCATGAGCCTGGGACAGCAGTGAAGACTGCAGGGAGGGTGGCGGCTCTAAGGCAGCCCTAAGAGCTACCAGGGCAGGTGAAGTCTATGAAAACTGGGGAGGCTGGAAGAGGATGCTTGCTGCAATGAGGATGTGGGTTGGGAGCAGGTCCCCTCTCACCCGGCGCCTTTCCTCCTAGGTATGTTACCGGGTGCTGATGCAGCTCTGTTCGCACTATGGGCAGCCTGTGCTGTCCGTGAGGGTCATGCTGGAGATGCGACAGGCAGGCATTGTGCCCAACACCATCACCTACGGCTACTACAATAAGGTACCTAATCTGGGATCAGGAGCAGGGCGGTAGCTCGGGTGTGTGTAAGTGGAGGATGCTACTCCGCAACACCTGTGCTATTCCCGCTCCTGGAGATTGGGCCTATACAATCTAAGTAGGACCTGTAGCCACTGTCATGGATGTACTTGGCTGCTTCAGTTCTTAAAAGAAACCTGACAAGGGGGTTGGGCAAAGATTACGACCTATCAGTAATTGGTAAGAGTAACAGCCACCGTGCCTGGCCCTGTTCCAAATATGTTATACATTTTATCTTTTTTCTATTAGTTTATTTATTCATATATACAAGAGCTGGGGTGTATGCCAGAGTGTGTCGGGAGTGGGGGGACGGAGAGGACAGTGAGAGGATTCGCCAGAGACAGAGTGGGGAACAGAACAGGCAGACTGACTGAAATACACTGCTGAGGGGAGCAGTGAGTGAGACAGGAGAGGTCTGCTGTGCCATGTGGGTAGCTCCCTGATTGGGGATCGATCTTGTGCTGCAGTGGATTCCGATAGCTTTGTAGTGCTGTGACTTAACTCCTTGCGCCACCAGGGAGGCCCCATTACACATTTTAAATCATTTTTCACCACAGTCCCATGGGGGTAAATGATTATCATCCCCATTTACAGATGAGGTAGTGAGGTAACAGAGTTAATAATGTGTCTAAATCCCACAGAGAGTAAATCTGGGAGTTAGGATATGAGCACAGGCAGATTGACATCTCCTGAATTCAAGCCTTTAACCATGAGATTAAATGGTCTCCTGTTTTTTATTTACTTATTTGGATGGAAACCATATATTTTTTTCCTCCTGTTTTTTATTTTTTTTAAAGACTTCATTTACTTATTTTTGCATAGAAGAATTGGGGTGTAGGCCAGAGGTACAGGGGATGAGAGGATTCACCAGAGACAGAGCGGGGAACAGAACAGGCAGACTGACTGAAATACACTGCTGAGAGGAGCAGCGGGCGAGACAGGAGAGGTCTGCTGCGCGATGTGGGTTAACTTCCTAGCCGGGGATTGAACTCATGCCATGTGAGTTAGCTCCCTGGCCAGGGATTAACTCAGGCCCTGATGGTGGGCCATTGAGGTGGTTGTGCTAAGACTTTACCCCTAGGTCACCAGGGAGATCCCCCTCCTGTATTTTAGATGGGGGAACTAGTAACCAAAAAAATGAAATAATTTTTTTAAAGCCATATAATTTATAAGTAGCAGAGTCTGTATACAAATGTTTCTGTTGCTTCTGGCTTCCAGACCCCTCCAAGATGGTTGCTACCACCTCCCTATTCTGGACTCTTGTTTCTGGCTGAGCCACTGGCAGGACAGTTCTGGGCAGGATGTCTGGAGCGGGCAAGATGGTCTCCTGGGGCTCCCAGGCAGGCGTGGGTGTCCGGCTAGTGTCAGGGTGTAGAAGTAGGCCATCTTGAAGGATACTCTGCTTGGTAGGCTGTGCTGGAAAGCAAGTGGCCGTCTGGTACACCGGGTGGACGCCTGCACTGGGCCAAGCTCCGGAATGTCGTCATGGGCGCTGCCCAGTTCCGCCAGCCCTTGAGAGAACGGAGGCGGCAGCAGCAGCAGCAGCGGCGGCGGCAGCAGCAGCAGCAGCAACAGGAGGTGGCAGCACAAGAGGCAGGCAGTTCCCAGACAGGTGGGAAGGGACTGGCGACGGGCTTGGGGATGGAGTAGCCAGGATCAGGCAGGGAGACGCATGGAGGGCTGGGGATGGCCTCGTGGTTGGTATTAAGTGTTCCAGGGACTGATAATCTATACTTGGCTGGTAACGAAAGAGCTGAAGCTGTGCCTGGGAGGATGCCTCCAAACCTAGGTCCATGCAAGGAGCTCTGTTTTGGAACAGGGGGCTAGGTTTCCAGCTGGCTGTCATTGAACCCCCGTCCCTGTCTTTTACAGACCCCTACCTGGAGCGCCCCTCGCCTACCCGCCCTCTTCAGCGACAGACGACGTGGGCTGGGCGAAGCCTCCGGGACCCAGCCTCACCCACAGGGCGCCTGGTGAAGAGTGGTAGCCTGGGGAGTGCCCGAGGTGCCCAGTCCACTGTGGAGGCTGGTGTGGCCCACAGTGAGTGCCCTTGTCCAACCCATTGCCTGTCAGCTCTCCTAACCTTTGCCGAGAGAAAGAGGGGAAGACTGGAGGCAGGATGGAGCAGTGGCCCTCTGGGGTGGGCTCTGTAGATTTTGAGGGACTCTTGCCCAGTATACCATCACGATGGGGTTTGGGGTGGCAAAGTTTGTGCTGCCCAGAATTTTGTTCACTCAATTCCTAGACTGGACTCTACCCTTCCTGATTCTTTTCTGCTTGCAGTGATAGAGGCCTTGGGAGTACTGGAACCTCGGGGATCACCTGTGCCCTGGCACGATGGAAGCCTCTCAGACTTGAGCCTGACTGGGGAGGAGCCAGCACCTGAAGGCAGCCCAGGGGGCTCAGGCTCAACCCTGAGTACCCAGTCCACTGAGGCCCTGGAAGGGCTCAGTGGGAGGGTGCCCAAGTCTGGTGGGCGTCAGGATGAGACCAGTACCCCCCGACGAGGGCTGGGTGCCCGCCTCCAACAGCTGCTCACTCCTTCTCGCCGCTCCCCTGCCTCTCGTGCTCGTGCTCGTGCTCCCGCACCTGAGCTGCCCCCTGACCTGCCTCCCCCAGCCCGCCGCAGCCCCATGGACAGTCTTCTGCGCCCCCGGGAGCGCCCTGGATCCACTGCCTCTGAGGTAGCCAGTGAAGCCTGGGGAGAGGCTGATAGCTGGGAGAGTGCCCAGAGAGGCGTTTCTGAGGGGTGGTTGAAGCCAGCATCCTGGGTGAAGAACAGATGGAGTTGGCTGACCATGCTTTCTCATGTAATGGCAGAGCTCGGCTTCTCTGGGTAGTGAGTGGGACCTCTCAGAATCTTCTCTCAGCAGCCTGAGCCTTCGCCGTTCCTCAGAGCGCCTCAGTGACGCCCCTGGATCCTTTCAGCCGCCTTCCCTGGAAGTGAGGATAACCCCTCCCAGGCACACTTGAAGGCAGGGGCTGGGAGGAGGTGGGGGGAGGCTAGGCTGGAATTTGGAGGAAGAAGAGGCAAGGGAAGGAACCTGGAGATCAAGCAGACCTGCCTCCTGGGTATTCTGCCTGCAGATTCTGCTGTCCAGCTGCTCCTTGTGCCGTGCTTGTGACTCGCTGGTATATGATGAAGAAATCATGGCTGGCTGGGCACCTGATGACTCCAACCTCAACACAACCTGCCCCTTCTGCTCCTGCCCCTTTGTGCCCCTGCTCAGCGTCCAGACCCTTGATTCCCGACCCAGGTGCCCAAAGCAGGGCAAATGTTGCGGGTAGGTTGGGGAAGGGGAGTTCCAAGGGCTGACACTCCTACTGTGTTCCTCTGCAGTGTTCCCAGCCCCAAGCCTGCCCCTGCTGGCACCAGTGACAGCAAAGACGCTCCTGTCCCTGGGGGCCCAGGCCCAGTGCTCAGTGACCGCAGACTCTGCCTGGCCCTGGATGAGCCCCAGCTCTGCAATGGGCACATGGGGGTAAGGGCAAGGTCGAATAGGCACAAGGAATGGGGGTGTGTGTGGACCAATGGTACTGGGTATTGAGGGCAAGGGGCATTGCAGAACCTGGCGGGTGAGGCTGAGAAGCATGGCTCCGGGAACAGGATCCTGGTAAATGCCCTCCCCCTTTGTGTCTGACAGGGTGCCCCCCGGAGGGTCGAGGGTGGGGCATGGGCATACCTGAGCCCCCTGGTGCTGCGTAAGGAGCTGGAGTCACTGGTAGAGAACGAGGGCAGTGAGGTGCTGGCGTTGCCTGAGCTGCCTGCTGCCCACCCCATCATCTTCTGGAACCTTCTGTGGTACTTCCAGAGGCTGCGCCTGCCAAGTATTTTGCCATGCCTGGTGCTGGCCTCCTGCGATGGGCCCCCGGGCCCCCAGGTCAGTGCCCCTTTTGGCCCCTGCATCCTGAGTGCCTCCCTCCTCATCTGTCAGCTTGTTGCCCATGTCCTTAGTGCTGCAGGAGGAGTGCAGGCTTGGGAGTCACTTGTACCTGATTTTACTCCCTGCCCCTTCACTTCACAACTTTGAGCCTTACAGAATTTTTATGTAGTGCTGGTACCTAGAAAATGATTAATATTCACCTATTCATTCCACCCCTATTTATTGAGTAACTTCTAGGTTCCAGGCAGTTTTGAGGCACTAGGAATGTATCAGATTACACAACAAAATCCTTGCTCGGAGAGCTTGCATTCTCATGGGTGCAAGTACTTCTCTTTGGCAATGTCCTATAATGTCCCTCTGTCTCTTGGAACATCAGCTGTCCATTTTCTGTCCTCTGTCTTCCATTTCTCCTTTGTCTTGTCTCTCTGCAGGCCCCATCACCTTGGCTAACCCCTGATCCAGCCTCTGTGCAGGTGCGGCTGCTGTGGGATGTCCTGACCCCTGACCCCAATAGCTGCCCACCTCTCTATGTGCTCTGGAGGGTCCACAGTGAGTGTGGTATTTGGTCTAGGGGGGAGGGGGCTGGTCCCATGCCTAGTCTAGAGAGCTCAATAATCTGGACTCCCTTCCTTGCTTTTACCCAGGCCAGATCCCTCAGCGGGTGGTGTGGCCAGGCCCAGTACCTGCATCCCTCAGCCTCGCGTTGCTAGAGTCTGTGCTGCGCCATGTTGGTCTCAATGAGGTGCACAAGGCTGTTGGGCTCCTGCTGGAAACTCTAGGGGCCCCCCCTACTGGCCTGCACCTACAGAGGTATGGTACTCCACCTAGGAGACCCCTGGTCTGTTCTGGGCTCCACACCCCCTTTTTCTCATATTCTTCTGTCTCCATTCCAGGGGTATCTACCGTGAGATCTTATTCCTGACAATGGCTGCTATGGGCAAGGACCATGTGGACATAGGTGAGGAGCAGATGGGGGTGCTGAGAGTTTAGGGATCTGGGGTAGAAATCCTAATGTATTGACCACTACCTTTTTCCCTAGTGGCCTTTGACAAGAAGTACAAGTCTGCCTTTAACAAGCTGGCCAGCAGCATGGGCAAGGAGGAGCTGAGGCAGCGGCGGGCACAGATGCCCACCCCGAAGGCCATTGATTGCCGAAAATGTTTTGGAGCACCTCTGGAATGCTAGGGACCCTTAAGCTTCCTTCTCCAGCCTGGGGTGGGGAGATGAGGGAGAATGGATTCAAAAGATAACCTGCTTCCCTATTCCTTTCCTAAGGAGCCGGGAACAGGCTGGGAAGCATGCCCTGCTCTGGCTTCCAAGTGGGGGCAGGAGGAAGAGGGGCCCTCTGTTACCAAAAGTCACAATTCCCCTATCTCCAGCCTGCCCAACTTGCTCATGCTGAGGTTGGAGGCGGCCTGGGGGAGTTGGCAAAGCTCTGTTCCTCCCCTTCCTATACCAGGAACTCCCCTCCAGGGTACTCAGAGAGCTGCACTGCCCTGGTCATTTTATAAGTTTTTGTTTTAAAAAACAATTGGAAAGATACAGAGCTACTGAGCCTTTGCCCTGTAGGGGTCGGAGAGACGTCATTCCCCACCAATGACGGCCCCCTTCCCTGGATTGCTGAAGGAGCCCGAGGCTCTCCACGTCTTCCTACCTTAGGATTTGTATTTTAAGTTATTTATTTTGAGCCATAGCCCCCTTGCTTATGAGATTGTTATGGACAGTAAAGAAAAGGGAGATGGGGCACCATGGTCCAGTGGTCTGTAGCTCCTTGAAGTCAGGATGTGGAAGCTAGAGGAATCCCAAGCTCCCCTGAGGAAGAATTGGAGCCTCCTCTAGCTCTACTCCTGTCCACTCCACCAGTTTGGGGAACACCTCATCGACCCAGGACCCTGATTTGTGCAATAAGGATTGCTCCTTGCAAAGTTTTGTTGGATGTAAATATAGTAAATAATGCTTCGGTCTTTTTCCTTCTGCCTCCTTTTCCCTGGGTCTGGGACAATGGTGGGGGATGCCTCTCCCTAACCCTGCCTGTGTATCCTCCTCTTCACCTCTCCATCCCTTGCAGCCTTCAGGCACACCCTGCTTTCCCTGACCAGGTCTGGTACCGGTCCCTTGGGGCATAGGGAGTTGTCAGAGCAGAAGAGGGGTGAATCGGTGCTGGCCATGGTGGTGCCAGTCTGTGTGGCACTTCCGGCCCTCCCACACAATTATCCCCTTGTCCCTCATCCATACCCCACACAAAGGCTCCATTCTCTGGGGGCCCTGAGCTCATCTCTGCCTTTTTTCCTCTCCCCTAACTTCCCCCTCCTAATTTCTCCAATACCTCCACAGGATGACGACCCTCTCCCCAGTAGTTGGTGTTGGCAGGCCTCACACATCCCAGGAGCCCTGGCAGTCATCCTAGGCCTCCTTGGTTGCTCTAGTTGCAGGCAATACTCTTCCAGAGGACAGAGCCAGGAAGATAGGGGCAAGAATTCAGGGACTTGCTGCATAGGGGCATTGGGAAGACAGACATAATTTTTCTAATCTTTTTGGCCCACTTGGAGTTCTTCCTTTCTTTCCTGTATAATGAAATAAACACAGGAAACAACTCCTAACAGAGCTGTAAAACCAATTACCAAAGGGAATTAGCCAACAAAACAGAAATGCCTTGGGGAAGGAGAGCAAGAGTGTCAATGGAGGAAATAACTTGCATGAGCCTTTACTGCAAATTTCTGGGGGTGGAGATCAGTGGATGAAAAGAGGTACTGCTGAATTCTGGCGCCTTCAAGCAGTAGGACCCTTCTCCATCCTGTCTTGAGCACAGAAGGATGCTTTTCCAGTAGCCTAAAGGGGCTACATAGGAAGGAAGCAGGGCTATCGTCCCCAAAAACATTCTACAAGGGACCACCTGTCTTCCTGAATTCGTAAGTTTCTATTTAGCACTGAACCCCCTGGAACTGAGGAAGAATTTTAGTGCTCAGCCCCTACCTCAATAGAGAATTGCATCTTAATGGTCTAGAGTGCCCCTTGGCTCACAAATAATTATAATCAACTCTATCTCCACCTTCCACTTCTCATTTTGGGGCATCCTGCTAGAGGCCCACTCTTTGATGAATGGTACTACAGGATTCTTTCACTCCAAGAATATCTGGAATTCTAAAAGCAAAATGCCATGGCATCTGATATTTCTGTCCTGTGGCCTAGGGAGCAGATGAGGGGAGAGAAGAATATGTCCAAATTACAGACCCCCGATTTGTCTTCTCACAGTACATAGATTTGAGTATGACAATTTTTAGTTAAATCTTGTCTCTGACACTTGCTAACTTTATTACATCAGACAAATCATCTAACTGGTGAGCCTCTGTTTTTCCCTCATTTGCAAATTGTGGAGGTTTGTTTATTTATTTTTTTAAATTTTTTTTTAAAGAGGCATGTATTTTTATTTATTTATGATTTATTTATTTGTTTTGTTTTGTTTTTTTTGTTTATACATGCACTGGGTATAGTCAGAAGCGCGGGAGGGTGAGAGAATTCAGCAGAGCCAGGGCGGGGAGCAGAACAGGCAGAAGGACCAAAGTACACTGCTGAGGGGAGCAGTGGGCGGCAGGAGAGGTCTGCGCGCCATGTGGGACCCTCCTCCGGTGGCCGGGGAGCAGCCGGGGATCGAACCGGCGCAGGCAGCTTCGCAACCCAGCGCTCAACCACTGTGCCACCGGGGAGGCCCTGTGGAGGTTTGTTTAAAGCTTAATTATATAACCCATACAAAGTGCTAAACATAATAAATGTTAGCTTTGAAAAAAAAAAGGGAACAAACTGGTAGAGCCTGCAGAGGGCAAAGGTCATGTCCACTACATTAGTGGCCTCACTCACTTGTCTTCCCTGGAGTTTGAGCCTCCAGACTAAAAGTTTCCCTTTACAGCCTGAGTTTAAACTTGTGAAAAGCAGTTTCTCAGGCTTCACTTTTATCTTCTGCCATAGTGTTTCTCATGTCTTTTCACAGCTTTTGAAGAATGGCCCTTTATTTTTATTTTTTTAAAGATTCATTTATTTATTTATACAAGCACTGGGTACAGTCAGAAGCGCGGGAGGGCGAGAGAATTCACCAGAGCCAGAGCGGGGAGCAGAGCAGGCAGAAGGACTGAAGTACACTGCTGAGGGGAGCAGCGGGCGGCAGGAGAGGTCTGCACGCCATGTGGGACCCTCCTCCGGTGGCCGGGGAGCAGCCGGGGATCGAACCGGCGCTGCAGAGGCTGAGGGCAGCTTTGCAACCCAGCGCTCAACCGCTGCGCCACCGGGGAGGCCCCGAAGAATGGCCCTTTAGACAGCAGAGAATGATGGACAAAGCAGCAAATTAGAGAAAGAAAATTGTACCTTCCACAAGGGCAGTGACTTTACCTCGTTTATGGCAATATCCCCAGAATATAGATGAATGCCTGATAATGCAAAAGGTGCTCTATCATCTGTGACTGAGTGAAAACATTAAAATGAGGGGATTAGGGCCTCCCCAGTGGTGCAGCAGTTGAGTGCTGGGTTGTGAAGCTGCCCGCGGCCTCTGCGGCGCCAGTTCGATCCCCGGCTGCTCCCAGCCACTGGAGGAGGGTCCCACATGGCGTGCAGACCTCTCCTGCCGCCCGCTGCTCCCCTCAACAGTGTACTTCGGTCCTTCTGCCTGCTCTGCTCCCCTCTCTGGCTCTGGTGAATTCTCTCACCCTCCCGCGCTTCTGACTGTACCCAGTGCAAGTATAAACAAAAAACAAACAAACAAACAAATAAATAAAACATGCCGCTATTTAAAAAAAAAACTCTTAAAAAAATGAGGGGATTAGTAGAGAAAGTTTTTTCAGTACAGGACTATACCAACAGAAGCTGAATTGAGAATTAAGAGGATGAAATTGTTGGAAAAGTGAGGAAAACTCACAGTAGTTACTAATGATTATCAAGTACTCACTGTATCCTTGACACCATCCTGAGCATTTAAAATGTGCTATTTTATAATTTTCAAATTACACTATGAGGGCAAGTCCCATTTTGCAGATAGTAAAACTCGGGCACAGGAAACAAAGGTTAAGTAATTTGCATCCAATTCACACAACTTTAAGAGTTAGAGCCAAGATCCAAACCTTGGTAGTCTGACTTCTGAGACCATTTTCTTAGAAACCGAGACCATTTCCTACTAGAAGAAAACATTTTTTCTCTACCTTCTTAAAATATAGAAAGGTTGGGGTATGCTTGTGAGTGTGTGTGTGTGTAGGGTCTATGTCTTTATATGGCCATGTCCTTTATTAGTTTCATTTCCATTGTACAGTATGATGTCTAAGTTCTTTGAAAATGTGTTCTAGTGCCTGTGGAACCATTATTCCTGTGTTCAAAGCACCTCTTAGTCATTAATTAGCTGTGTGATGTTTGGCGAGTAACTTAACCTCTCTGACCCTATTTCTTGATTTACCTTGGCTCAAAATTCAGCTCTTCCACTTACGTGTAACTTTGGCCAAATCATTTTTTTAAAGATTTATTTATTTATGCATACAAGAGCTGAAGTACAGGCCAGAGATGTGGGGGGCGAGAGGATTCACCAGAGACAGAGTGGGGAACAGAACAGGCAGACTGACGGAAACACACTGCTGAGGGGAGCAGTGGGCAAGACAGGAGAGGTCTGCCGCGCCATGTGGGTTGCTCCCTGGCCTGCCGGGGATCGAACTCGTACTGCAGAGGCTGTGGATTGCTTCAAAGTGCGGTGCCCAACCCCTTGCGCCACCAGGGAGGCCCCCTAGCCAAATCATTTGATCTGCACTTTCCTGATCTGTAAAATGGGCGTAACAGTACCTCGCTGAGTTATGAGGAATGAGACAATCCATGTAAAAGTTGTTAAAAGAATGCACGTATACATAGCACAGGGCCATTAGCTATTATTATTCCCTCAACACACTGATCCTGTGATACTTGGCCCCTATCCTCAAGGTACTCAGAAGGATACTGATACTTATGATATGCAACTGCTAAGAGTTTATGGGGGCCTAACTGCTTTGGGGAAGTAGGGAGGCTACTAAGAGCAGTCGGGCCTTGAGTTAATTAGGTGTTGTCGGGTGGGGTAAGAAGCTGTTTCCCTCACTGTGAACCTAACCAGACCAGAAGATTCCAAGGGAAGGAGCAGCGAGGGCTGTGCACACCGTAATTCCCCAGCAATTTGACTAGCTTTTTCCCCCCTGCTGTCGCGGTTTAGTCACGACAGTACCGTGCCGAGAGACGATGAAAACCAGGAAGCTCAAGGCCTTTGGCAGACGGAGATAGGCCACGCCCCAAACAGACAACAAGGCCCAAGAGCCTAAAGCTAGTTACATCTTGAAATTCCTGGATTCTGTCGCGATGAAACACCACCCAGAGCACAGCCGTTTGCTAGGCTCCATCTTTAGAACTGAAAGAATGAGAGAGGGCCAAAGGGGAATCCCGGCTTTGGGATACTGGGGTACGGCGGCTGCCTGGGGACCAAAACGTCTCTAAGGTAAAGTTGCAGCCCGAAGCGGTTTTTTGACCCCCGACACTTAATGGGCTGCTGAAGACCCGGATGTGTCTGGGGCTGGCCGAGGTACCCATTAACGCGCCCCCGCTAGACCATCCCCCTCTACCGTGTAGAATTGGGTCCTAAGTATGCCAATCATCACTTTTCCAACCACTCACTCTTCAAGGGTGGGGTGTAGTCCCGGCATCCCGTCTCCTATTGGTATCGCTGAGAAGAAGAGGGCGGGGAGACCGGCTTAGGTTGCCCAATGGGCGTCGTGGCGTGTGGGAAAGGCGGTGCCGAGGCGCTTGGCAGCTGCCCAATCAGCGTCCTTGTTTGTGTGGTGCCGCCGCCGCCGGTGCAGCCGCCGCCGCCGCCGCTGCCCCCGTCTGTACCGCAGTGTCTGCTCCGCCCGCCCGTCCGGGTCCGGCCCGCCCCCCTCCCCCACCCCCGCCCCCGGTCCCGTCAGTGGGGTCCGGAGCCCACTGTGCCGTCGCCTCTTCCTTTTTCGACGCCTCCGCCGCCGCCTGAGGAGGCGAGCTAGCCGGGAGTTACACCGCCACCGCCAGGTGAGGAGCTTTGGCCTAGGCCAGCCTGGCCGCCCGCCCGCCCGGGGGCGGTGAGGAGCGAGGAAGGGAGGAAGGCTGGGAGGAGGCGGTGGTAGCGGAGGTGGGGGAAGGGAAAGGTGGAGGGGCGGGGGGGGGGAAGCGCCCGCGAGCCGACGCCCGCCCGCGCGCCCCCGCCTTGCGTCCCCCTCCCCCCACCCGGCACCGCGCGCCCCCGCCTCGCGCTCCCCCTTCACCTCATCCCCTCCCCCCGCTCCGCGCGCGCGCCCCGGTCTTTCACTTCGGCCTCGCGCGCCCCTAGCTCATGTCCCTTCATTTCTTGTGCTTTTACTCTTTCTCCCCACCCTCGCGCCCCGTTTCCCCCGCCATCCCCGCTTTCACTCACTGCCTCCTGCCCGCCATGCTCCCCTCCTGTCCTCCCTAGCGCGCCCCCCCTCAACTCTCTCCACCCCCAGTGGTGCCCTCAGGGTGCGGGGGCCGCTCCCTTCACTCAGTCTTGTGTTCGCCGGCGGTTGGGACAAACGGGAAATCCTTAAGGTGAAGGGAGCACGGGGTAATTATCTTTATTTAGGCTAAGGGCTCAGCAGCGCAGAACCTTATCCCTTTATTCGTCTGCCGTTCCCTCGCTCTCCCGTAGAAGGGAATTGCCTCAGCCTATGTGGTACTCACCGTTTATAGCGACTCAATCACCCCTTTCCTCAGCTGAGTTTCTGGGACACGCTGCATCTGTATCCCAGTTCAGTGCCGGAGGATCGATGGAACTAGAACATACCCTTCCCTCACCAGACCCGCACTTAGAGTACTTTTCGCCTCCCTGCTCTCGACACCACGGAGCTAGCCACTCCTGCGAGTGCAGAGGTTTTGGTGCCCTGCGCCGGCCCCCTCCCTTAAGGTATGGTGGGGGTCTTTGGACTTTCCCCCAGCCCCCGCTTCCCTCCAAACACGAGGTGTTAGCCCATAAGACCGGCGCCGAGTTGCAGGAGATAGTGGGCGGGTGGACTCGCTATCAGCCTCTCATCTGCTGTCATCCGGAGAATCAGGTAGCCTCTGGAGAACCAGTTTTCTCATTCCTGATAAATGATTGTTGGGAGGGGTTTTTGTGTGCCTGTGAGAGACCCGGGGATACTTAATATATTTTAATAAAGTGAAAGAGCAGTGCTTTCAGGTCACTGCAGTAGAGTAGGTTTGGACTTGCAGTACCTGGCTAAAGGTTTAACAGATCTGTGTTGGATGAGAGCTGAATTTAAATTCAGCTGCTTTTGAATTTCTGAAACATTTTTCTTTCTAAAAACTTACTTTTTTTGAGTAAATAGTGCATGCATGTGCTACAAAGTGAAAAGAAGCCTTTTCTCTCACCTCTGACATCGAACCATCCAGTACCCTTCCCAGTACAAATAACTTACGATTGTTTTCTGACAGTAGCATGGTGTCTTTATGTTGGAGATGAACCTTGTTTGGGAGTTTAGTGCTAACTTGAACCTTTCTTGCATGGCCACTTGGATTTATATTTTTGGTGCTGGAGCAGTCCTGGCGGAGTATTGTCTTAGAGTAACTCACCTGTCAGTACTTAATTGGGAAGGAGGCTACTTCTGGAGCTGCTAATGGTAATACTATGGAGGCGCTCAGTATTTATTGAGGGAAGGCTTACTTACACCTGTTGGAAATGGTGCTGCTTTTTTGGTGATATCCAGTCTCTGGGGGTGGACTGAGTCAAGGATAGGCTTTCCCTTAGGCTTTTTTTTAAGTAGTTAGGTTGTAGGAATAATTAATTAATGGAAGTACTGATCTGATAGGGTTATTTTCTGTTGTTGAGGTGTATAGTTTTTAGGCTGGTGGTCATGATAAAGAATGAAGTAGATAAATATTAAAGCATCAATCAGAAAGCTGGAACTGTAGAATAGGTAGGACTTATGGACTTTTGTCCTACCAGTTCTTTATTTGAGAATACTTTCTCGATGAGGTGAGAGTGATTTGTAGTTGACAGCAGCATCCATCTTTATGACACTGTGGTTTGCCTCCCCTGACTGTGTGATGTCTGTTAACTTCCTGTTTAGAGGCTTCTAAGTAGAAGCTGCATTCAAACACTTGTCTAGGAATTTTACCCAGGTTCTCTGATCCGCCCTTTAAATCTAAGTTGTTTCAGTAACTTTTACTGTGTATTTAGCATAAGGCCACAGGATAGTGGGGGAGGGAGAAGTGAGCAATTTTTGCTGAACCTCATAATCTTAGCATACATTCAAAAGCCTGTGTGCTGCCCTCTTCACTGGGGGGCGGGGGGGGGGGTAATGTCAGATGCTCCTCCACCCCTTTTTTTTGACTGGCTGGATTAGACCAGATCTCTTAAATTGGAGAACAGCAGTGTGGAAAAAGATTCAGTGTGTCAATAATAGTATCTTTAATCATATGTTGGGATCCCTGGATTCTTTCTAGCTTTAAGCAGTATCTTGAATGTGAACTAAACTTGTTTGGACTTACTGATTCTTCTTTTATCTCCCCCACACATCAAGTGTGTAGGTGCATGCTCAGAGGTACAACAGCTGTGTTTTCCTGATTTTCTAGACTCTTGGAGCATATTCCATGTTAGCTACCCCATTGGGAATCATGCTGACAAGTAGCCCTCTGCACTCAGGATGCTCATGTTGTTTGGCTCATTGAGAAAAGCCAAACCAGCTTTTGTTGATTAAAACGACAGCTAGAGAATACGTAAGATTTGAGCCATAACTGGGAATGAGGGACTTTCTTTTCCAGACCCTTTGCAGTTCTTGAAGCCTTGCATCATTGTGGGCACAATAGGTAGGCATTTTCTGAGGCAGTTGGAGGAGAAGCAAAAAAAAAAAAAGGGCACATCCACATTGACTATAAATCTAGTCCTAGTGTAAAGTTGTCCACTTCTTGGTGGGGGTGAGGGAGAGCCAGCTATGAGACAATGCTGTACAAAGTTGTAGTTTCTCTGCATTGGCTAAACCTGGGGAAAGATACATAAGGAAGTTCAATTTCTGTTGAAAAGAACTGGCTTTTGGGGGGAAAGCTTCTATTAGCCAGCTTCTATTAGCCACAGTAATCCCTGTGACATATTTGATACAGGTGCTAGTTGGGGATTTTGGTGACTCCAGAATCTATGAAACAAGGAGCCTCCTAGCTTTGCGTAGTAATGATGAAAGCCTTTGAAAAGTAGATCTAATTTGAAATGTTCCTTCCTCATCTTTCATATTCTTTTTCTTCATGGGTATATGAAATATGCCTATATTATTTTAGTTCATCCAGTAGAAAAGAAGTGATCCAGGGTCGTTAAAGGTTTAACCTCTCTGAAACACTTCTTAGATGGTGGCTTGGTAATGTTTGGTATCTCTCTCAAAATCCTTTATTGTTTTGTCAATACCTTAAGTTTCCATTAACGAGCAAGAAACTATGAGGAGTTATGGCTTATGGTACCAATACCAAAAGCAACAGATGAATAAGAATTCATATTTTGTTACTTTTTAGATATGAAATGGTTGAATCCCAGATCTCAGTCATAGTAATCACAGAAACTGCTTTTGGCAACATGTGAACTGAATTGTTATTAATTCTAACCAGTAAACTGTTAGAAAGAGGACTGTTCTTCAGTATTCCTGAGCCAATCTCTTGTTGGTTTTCAAATCTATCTGGTGTATATTTTAAAAATAATTCAGGTTACTGGTACCTGAACCTGAAAGTCCTGTTTTAAACTTCTTGATCAAAGTTTTTTTGATCTTGTCTCATGGAGGGGTTAGGGATGGAATTTATAATCTCCCCCAGATATAAGCTAGAATGTTAGTAGGATTTAGATGAGATATCAGCATTAATAAATTCCCATTATGGTCATAGGGATTAGAAATGTTACCTGGAGAGGGGCTCCTTGGTGGAGCAGGGGTTAAGACACAGCGCTATGAAGCTGTCTGCAGCCACTGCAGCACGTTCAATCCCCTGGCCAGGCAGGGGACCCACATGGCACAGCAGATTTCTCCTGTCTCCCCTGCAGCTCCCCTCAGCAGTGTATTCAGTTAATATGCCTGTTCTGTTCCTCACTCTGTCTCTGGTGAGTCCTCTTGCCCCCCACACCTCTGGCCTGTACCGCAGTTCTTATATGCATAAATAAATAAATCTTTAAAAAAAGAGAGAGAGATGCTACCTGGAGAAATTGTGTACCTCTTATCTTGTAAGGTATTTATAAAATAAAGTTTTTGAGAATATTTAAATTCTGGGAAGGAAGGGAACAGGAAAGTTGGAAATAGAACATAGGTGTAGAGGGTCTAGAAATATTGGGTCAGATCTTAGTCTTGCTATTTATTAACCATATGATTTTGGGTGAGGCTCCTGATACTTGCATTCCCATTTCCTTTAGAGTAAAAACCAGTCCTTACATTGACCGACAAGGTCTTACACCATCTGCCCTTCTCCACGACCCTTTTCCATCTGTCGTCATTCTCCCTCTTGCTTGCTCCATCCAGTTACCATTGACTTGTTCCTTAAATACACGTCACACTCTATTTTAGTACTCTTTGCACTAGTTGTTCCCCATAGTGGGAAATAGCTAGTTTTTTTTTTTTCCTCATAGAGATAATACAAATGACTAATTTCCTCACCTCTTTCAAATTTGTTTAAATGTTACCTTTTCAGTGTGACCTTATATCCCTGTTTAAAATTGCACCTTCAGGGCCTCCCCGGTGGCGCAGCGGTTGAGCGCTGGGTTGCAAAGCTGCCCGCAGCCTCTGCAGCGCCAGTACGGTCCCCGGCAGCTGGGCGAGGGTCCCCCATGGCACGCAGAC